AGGAGCAAAGGTCACATGATGAGCGTCAAACATCTGGGTGGAGTTACGGTGAAACAGTGAGAGTGAAGGAAGCTTCGTCCAGAAGCTACGGCGCCGGGATTTTTACTGGAGCTGAAACACTCAGCTCCTCTTCGTCTCTGCTTTCAGGTGTGAACGTGTGAACAAGGCGGCGGCAGGTACGATCACAGACAGGAAGCACTAACAGGAACCGAGAGATCGGTCGCTGACCTGGAAACAAGTTTTACTTTAGCTTGTCAACATTAAGTCAGTTTGCTGGGCGGAGCATTAAACAGACTTAGTGATTTGATCGCTCGCTCTGCTTCAGGCTGAAGGACGGCGAGCTACAACTAACGTCAGACCAGAGAAGAGAGCAGACCGAAGATATACTTGGACTAAAATACTTTTCCCCTCACACCTGACAAGACGCAGCGTGCTCCTCCTGCCAGAAGGTGGCAGTAGCACACGCAGACAGAGGCAAACAGCAAAGAACTGCCAACTACGTTTCTTCTGTCTGCAGGACGCCATCAGCATCACGCCATCAGCATCACGCCATCAGCAGGTGTCCAGGTGCCCTCGATCAGCTCCAACCAGAACTTTAATTCTTCTCTGGACAGACAACTAACTGTTTCTCTGCAGCGAGCAGACGACCACAGCAGCACTGTGTGTGTGTGTGTGTGTGTGTGTGTGCGCGTGCAGAAACCATGATCCAGCAGAAACATCTGGATTTGAACAGTCAGTTTTAAATATCAGATCAGTGGACTTTCTGGCCGTGATGGCGGCGTCTGGCAGGAGTTATGGTCAGGTTACACACTGCCGAGTTTATGGTTTTATTGTCAACACACTGTAAAGCGAAGGGGCGGGGCTTCATTTATAACTGCGAGATAAACGGTGACTGTTCTTACCTTTGTCTCTAACACCGAGATCATTTGACCACAAAGTCTGATATTTATCTTCCTGACGCAGCAAAAACTACAAAATAAACTACAGAAAGTCATCTTTGATTTTATTGGTTCCCGCCGACGATGACATCACCTCACGCAGCTGACGATCACATGAAGTGTCTGTGTGTATAAACAGGAAGAAACATTTCCTCAGGTGAACCTGCGGCTCAGGATGGCTCACCTGGTCTCCCAGTGACGCGTGACAACAGCGCCCACATGGTCACAAACTACACCACCACAGCCCCATGGCGGCTTTACTGCAAACCCCACCGGCCCTACCCCGACTCCCCCACCACCTGCACCTTTTAGTTGGAGTTCTACATGCCAGTCACCACATCTGTCAACACATTTAAACATTTCCCTGAGTAACAAGTAAGCCACGTAACCGCAACACCTGACTCATCAAGCCCCGCCCTCACTGCAGAATATCAGTCAAACCTGAGCACACAGTCAAGAAGAGCGACCCGTGGAGACAGCCTCCTCACAGAAACCCTGGAACAGCTGTGACCCTCACACTGATGTTTCACAGAGACCCACCTGCTCACACCTGCCGGCCACACCTGGTCACAGAAAGCTGCAGTCATGTGACCAGCAGAGACAGCCCGTTTACAGAGATATACTCGCTCAACATACACATTTATACTCGCTATGAACCACTTCCTGTTCTGGTTGAAGTTAGCATCTGTACTTAAATAGTATGTGAGGGCAAGGTCAAAGGTCAGGACCACACAAAGGGTATGTAGAAATGTGGGAGCATCACCTTCGCCCTCTGATGAAGACCTTGAAGTGGCTGAAGCATGCAGACCCTGGCACGGTCATATCAGGAGCCAATGGAGGCTGTGACACATATGTGAGTGTGTGTGTGCGTGTGTGCCAGTGCAGAGGGCGGAAGGGGAGGAGGAAGGAGGAAAAGCCGGCGGGATCCAGCAGTCCTCGGTCCCTGTCCGCTCCTCTCCTGCAGCAGCCTGAGCTCCAGCTGCTTCTCCCTCCATACTCACCAGGTTCTCTATGGCCGCCTGCTCCAGAAACTTCTGCGCCGCCTCCAGCTCATTCCGGTCTGCGGACAGAGGAGAGAGGAGGGGGCTGGTTAGCGGACGGGCTAACGCACGGTGGTTAAACGTGTTCACCGGACGTTCACACACAAGCACCCGGCCCCGGGGTGGATGTCCCGCACTAATGATTCACCTCAGAGTCAGAAAGTTTAACTCCCGCCCCGGTGAGAGCCATCGGTGGTACCGAGAAGCACACCGACCCTGCAACATGCGCGCTAGCCACCTGCACTGTGCTAGCAGGCTAACGCTAGCCGACACGTTTCCAGAGACACGCATGAAGTTTTATGTGCAAACAGCGGAGCCGCTAAAACTGCGCCAACTGCGCTTAAAGCAGCGGAGCAGAGGTCAACTCACAACCAGGGCGCTCGCGTGTGCCCGCAGCGACTCTAAAGCGGCGTTACCCAGGAGAACACACCGAGAAAGCGGCCGACAGTTTGAATGGCCCGAGCTAGCGAAGAAGCTAACGGCTAACCCGGGCATGGGCAGGGTCGCGGCTTCTGATCGGGGACACACAGCCGGCATTACGGCCTATGCGGGCCCGAATCCGCGTGATGGCGATATGACAGCGTCTTCTAGTTTCCCGTCGACAGGCTAAAGGGTTACCAATGCCAGTAAAGTGTGCTTAAACGCCCGGTAGAGTGCTAAGTCACCAGCGGCGTCAGGCCGTAACGCTAACGGGTTAGCACAGTGAGCTAGCATAGTTTCCCTCCTCCCTGCTTCCAACTTTCCCCGGTGCTCCGGGCAGCCCGCCGTCTCGCAAACACCGCACTCCCCGGCCCGGGGTTCGGCATCGGGCCCGGGCCGCCGGCTGTGTGCGCTCCATGGTGCAGGGACTCACCCGGAGAGACGGTTTTTTCGAGAATCGTGATGAGCTCCATTCCTTCCCCCGGCTGCCTCTCTTCAGTCCGACACTTTCGGTTGCCGCGCAGCGCCCACAGCGGATTATATTTCTTCCACGGAGCTCGGTCGTTGTCAGGCACAGGACGGGTTCAGTCGGTGATACGGGTGGCGGAGGTTCCCCGGTCTTCGTTCGGCGTATTTTTACTCGGATGTTGCGGGAAATGTTGACAGCGTCGGCGCAGAGTCACGTCTCGTCGCTTCACCGCCGCCCGTTCGCATCCTGTGCTACAGGGAGGGAAAGGGCTGCGCGCTTCTCTCCCGCGGAGGGATATCACGCAGTGACGCCAAAAACGTGCTGCCTTCAGGGACCGCCGGACACCATATCATCCTGTCTCAGTACACTGAGATTTAATTTAATTTAATTTTTGTTTCACACATGGTGCAACAGTAATTAATTTCCTACACACAAACCTTCCTTTCAATTAAAACAACACTGCATCCATGCATGAAAAGGAGCAGGAGTTGATGACTGAAAATATAGATATCATTACATCACTTTTAAACTATACAAATACAGAATATCTTATTCTATTTAGTTTTTAATGTTCGTTATTAAAACACTAAAAGAATGATTACATTTTTGCTGCAGTTTGAATCACACAGTTTATTTTTTTATGTATTTATTCATGTAGTTGAAAATATTTTCTTTTAAAATGCAGCTGAACAGCTGTTAGTGTTATAAATACCTTTCCATTAAATTAAATTGGTAGCTGGGATAGGCTCCAGCCTTCCCCCCCAATAGAACCCATCCATCCAGTCTTTTCCGTTTATGCAGAGCGGGGTTGCAGCCTAAGCAGAGAGGCCCAGACTTCCCTCTTCCCAGTTTATCCGGAGGAACACCGGCGTTCTCAGGCCATCATATAATCTCTGCAGAGTGTCCTGGGTCTGCCCCAGGGCCTCCTCCCGATGGGAGGTGGATGGAGCCCAAAGCTGACAAAATGAGACGTTTGGAGGAAAAAGTACGCTGAGTGCAGTCATTGTGTTAAAGTTTGCTCAGCTGAAAACGTTTTCTTTCTTAAAAGAAAGGGATCTTTCTTCAAAGATCCCTTTTAATGTAACCCTGAACAACACGAACTGAATAAAAGCTCTAGGCGCTGTGGATTCCGAGCTACACAGGAACGCAGCAGCAGCACGCGCCTCTCGGATCTTTTCGGCGTACGGAGTCTCTCGTGCAAGTAACTAAGTACTTGTACTTGTAGCTGCTCTGCGCTCCAGCTGCTGGTTGGTGCTGGATTCACGTGTCTGTGAGTGTGTCGGTGAACCTGCTGCAGGACTGTGTCATGTTTTCTGTCCACAGACTGACGTGAAACAGGAAGAAGACACCAAACACAAAAACATAAACAATGACGTCACATAAAAGCGCTGTATAAAAGCAATTACAGGAAGTCAGCAGTTCTGTCAGCAGCTTCTCAGGTCGTCAAAGCCTTTCGATCTTCAAGCTCCTCCTCCGTCCTCCTGCCTGTGGCCTCCATTAAAGGAGAGCTCACTTTATTTTCTGCTGCCTAGACTCCCCGCTCCTCATCTCTGGTGGGAGGCCAAGCTGTGAGGAGGTGGTGAGGCCTGAACCAGAAAGTGATCGTTCAGGTCAAACACGCAGAGGCAGGAAGTGCTGCTGAAGGAAAGATCGGACTCTTGTCGTTAGTCGGTCCTGCCTCGAAGCCTCGAGCATCTCCATCATCATCTCAGAGTTGTAGACATGGCTCTGGTGAGGAGGGCTACAGGAGGGCTACAGATCACACCTGAGTCACACATTCTTCCACGATGTTGGAGAACTCGAGCATGAGCCGGAAACCCAGAAAACCTGTGTTGATCCCGATCTGCTCCAGTCAGTGACAGGATATTTAGAATATTCTGCTTTTAAATTTTATATATATATATGAGAGAGAGGCTGGGTGTCACTCCTCGACTTTCAGAGATTTTTACTAAAAACAGCTGCAGACATTCATACTGACACATTTATGATTGTGTGTCTGACTCCGTGTTGATCAGTTTTAGGACTTAAGTGCTTCATAATTACATGTTTTAAATATATAATTAGAGGAGAGAGGCCACGGCCAGGTGAGCGCAGGTGAAGTGACGCAGGTCTGTCTGAATAAAGACACGCAGCTGAAAAACAAACCCATTGCTTCTTTATTAGTCATTTTACAGTAGTCACTCATACGTAGCTGCCTTGAGTTGGTCTTTTGTGTCTATTTACCGTTTGTTCCAACATCTTCCTCTTTTTTTTTTTCCTTTTGTTTTTTAAACATCAACACAATGGAAGAGTCATGGACAAAGTATAAAAAGAACCCAACAGAGGGAAAACAGGATAAAAATGCCCCTTTTCACAACAAAAACTACATTTGGCAAAAGGTGGGGATGAAGATGATGATCCAGTGCATCTTTAAAAAGAAAAAAAGAAAAAAGAAAAAGATATCAAACACCACATGATTCAGTTTTTACTAAGATCCCGAGGAGAGCGCAGGTGTCCGACTGGAAAACAGTTTTCATTACTTAGCAATTATCGTCCAATCACATTTGACCTCCTCATTTGTTGCTAGCTGAAGCGGCAGAGAGCACACCACCCCCACGGAAAAACAAACAAACAAACAAAAGAAAACAACAACTCAACAAATAGAAAAAAATAAGAGATTTTAAAAAATGACCCATTCACATGCTGACAGTTGATCTGATGCGTTTATGGCACAACAAGGCGTCACAGGCGATTTCAAATTTACCCATAATACTTTTATTTCACAGCCGGTAGCAGCCCAAAGTCAATGCACTGCTGCAGGAAACACTGCGATACCTCGGCTGCAGCGCTGCAATATTCACTCATACCAACTAACAGAAGGTGCTGACGCTGCATTTTTTCCCTAAGAATTGAACACGGGCAACGGTTAACATATTTAAAACAAACAGCAGAAAATGACTAATAGCAGACAGTAAACAGTTATGATCATGTCCCCAGAAGTATGTGAACACTTTATTCTAAACCAACAAGCTAACACCAATTAGCTTGAAAATGTAATCATGTAAAAAAACAAAAAACAAAACCTAAACTTGTAGACCTGTTTAATTTTTTCCTCCATGTTTATTTTTCTGACCAAGTTCTGAATCAATGTTAGCTAAACCTCTGGGTTTTTAGGTCGTCTGAGCTAGCCTAAAGAATGTAGCCGTTTTCCCGCTCATTTTCTTTTTTTAAACTTTAACAGTATCAGGTGTTCTTAGCCAGCCAACCATAAACCTCTACAGCGTTAGCAGTTACCTTCAGCTAGCCTGATAAATCCGACCCTTTTCCTGCTTATTTTGGAATTTTCCTGACAAGTTTCAAAGCTAAAATTAAACAGAATTAGCTTGTTAGCTTATTGATAAATAAAAATCTCCCTTAAAAAGTATGTTTTTTTTAAGTTTATACTGTAATAATTTAGCTAGCTAAAACTAATTCTGTTATCTTTAGCGGTTATAAATTAACTTGACAAATTATTTCCCGCCCTCAGTTTTTAATATTCCTGTCTAGATTCTCATGTAAGTACCAACATTATATTATTAGCTATTTTGCTCCATGCAATTTACTCAATAATTCTTTAGTTTTTATTTTTATCCTTAAAGAGCTAGTGTTAGCGTGTTAGCTGACTAACAACAATAAATCCCTAAATTAAAAAGGGTATTGTCGCTAATGTGTGGCTAGCTAGAGGACGTTTTCACTAATTTGACGTTGTTGTCCACTAGTTTGAATAGTTTGAGTGATATTTGAGCAGCGGAGGTAAAGCAGCACTGACTGCAGCTAACCAACTTGCCAGCTGGTTCAAGGCAATCCATTTACTCTAGTCTACCCTGAAAAGTAAGTTTTAGTCATTAAAACCGCTGTGATTTGATCGACCATTTGATGTGTCGCAGACGTGTACACCTTAAAATACAAACATTATAAAATAAAAAAAAAACATTTTTAACACCACCCTCCACCCAGAGGAAACTCAGGCAGTTCACATACATTAAGAAAAATAAACCCAACATTTACAGCTGAGTATCTGGACGTGATTTATGAAACATCTGTGCGACTTTATAATTGAAATTCCCTGCTTTTATCCATGGAAACACGGGAAAAACAAACAAACAAAAACCTTTGAGTCAAATACAACTGAATGCTTTTTCATAACTGACGCCCACAAGAAACAACCGAAGCCCATTTAAGCCAAGAAAACAAACGCTTCATGAATGAAACAACTTAAGACCCAAAGTCATCAACTTAATTTTCTCAGTCGCAACTACAGAGTGACTAAAATTAAGAAATAACCTGAGACGAGTCAAGAACACGACAAGAAACAAGATCAACTGATGGCAGATCACAAGAAAAATTAGGGATATGATAAAATAAGTCTATGCTAAATTAAGATTCTTAAAACAAAAGCATCTCTCACTCACACACACACACACACACGATTTATAAAACAAGTCCAGACGTGCTTCTGCGAACTCGATTTTGGACTGTTCATCCATGTTTTTCTTTCCTGGCAGAAATAGGTTTCTTCAGCAAACAGATTCGTATTTCTCAAAGTAATCTGAACGATGCAACGACAGGAAGCTGATCAAATGGAGCGCGAGCAGCCAAAAACAGGAATGTCTCCGATCGGAGCAGATGGAAGCGCTGCTGTGGCACAAAATAAATAGAAAACAGAAAATCAAAGACAACAAATACTCCTGAGAAAACTGATGATTGATCAGAGGAAGCTGATCGAAGGTGATGGACACAGGGTGTAAAATCAAAGGGGGATGATTGAGGCTCAGTTTCAAACAGCGTGACCAGTCTGATCACGCTCAGAGGGAGGAACACCTGAACAACCCACACATGGCCAAAGCTCACCTGCGATACAGGAAGACTCCTTTAATAGTACCACACGTGAAGTTTGCAGCCTCGCTGGGCACGAACACCGGAAGCGTGGGGAGACCACTAGCCTTGCTCCGCCTCCCACCAGTCTCAGCGGCTGATCGAGCGGGCGGAGCTACAGAGAGGTTTTTAAATCAGCACTGATCCCTGCTTCACCTTCAAAACTCATTTCCACCACGTTCTTCCACACGTTGACCTAAGATGAGTCTTGGAGCGGAACATCAAATATTAGGAGCTGAAGGACGGCCCCCTGTGGACCGCGTCGGTACGTTTAAAGCAGCTAAGACACGGCTGTCCTCATGTCGTCAGCTGACGGAGGTCGCCTGCGCGCTAAGGAAAGCCACGCCTCCGTTTTGACTGCAGAAGATTTCGTCACGGTTTAGGAACTTGGAGGACCTGCTGGGGCGTAACAGGAAGATGGCGCCAATTTTCGGCGGGTGGTGGGACTCTGACAGCACGATCTTAGTCTGAAATCGAGTCAGTCGGGCGGTGCGGACGCTTCCACAGCCTGCTCAGACTGCAGGTGAAACTGAGCCAGCGAACACGGACGTCGGCTCCATCGTGGTGTTTGTAGTACATTCATCATGGTCTCGTTAAAAGAAAACTGTGCCGCCTGAAGCTGCAGAGCAGCAGAAATCAGTGTTACGAAAACGACACTCGAGGTTCGCCTACGTGAACGACCCAATACGAGCGTCAGCAGGAATCCATCCCTCGCCATTTTCCCTCTGGTTCCTTCCCGATGTCGGTCGGTCACGGTGACATCGTGGACGGTGTGTTGGACCAAACCAAACTAGTGACAAACTCTTTCTGATCTTTTGGGCAATTAATCGATTCATACGCACTCAGCTGTTTGTATTTACAGGGGAGTCATCGGTGAGGTCAGAGGTCAAATAGAAGAAACGAAACTAAATCAGCGATGACCTGCTGTGAGCGTGTTTAAGTCTTTACTCAAATCACGGCAAACTTGGAGAGAGAAACCACAAGAGGTGCCAGAAACAGTCGATTGATGGTTTCTGCCCGAGTTTGAGTCGCTCAGCAGCGAGCGGCTGAAACGTGACGAGTTCAGTGAAGGTCAGTCTGAATGAACTTTGACGGTCGATGGATTTGTGGCGTGTGCAGAGGACATGAAAAGTGTAGTGTGAGGTCAGTGACGCTTCAGGCGGGAAACGAGAAAATAAAGGCGGACGATGCTGTGAGACAGGAAGCAGAGGGAAAGCTTGACCTGCACAGACGGAGCGCGGCGCGTTTGCTCGACGAGTTCGCTCGACGAGTTCGCTCGACGAGCAGCTGACCGGCGTGATGATCGGTCGCAGGGTGGAAGGACGGAAAGGAAGGAGATGGGGGAGTTTAAGGAGGTGTGGGATGATGGTTCAAAGGTCAGGGGTCATTTACAGTAACCTACAGATATATACACACACCCAAATTATACAGAGAACAAATATATACATGCTCAGGGTTTCTATTTAACTATAACCAACAACTTTTTCCCAAAATACGTCCCTCCTCCTCTTCCAGTGTCAGGAGCGACTCCTCCTCCTCCTCACCTGTCTGTAGTGTAACGAGGAGCGAGGCGCACGGGCCACCTGAACGCGAGTGTCACATGACATGAAGGCGGACTTTAGCTGTTCTTTAGCAGCGTTCTGTCTTCAGGAGGACAGGAGGAGGAGGCGGCAGGCGTGGAGGAGGATGTAGCGGCGACACTGGCGGTGGTGGTAGCAGAGGAAGAAGACGAGGAGGAGGAGGAGGTGGCATTGGAGGGGAAGGAGAGCAGCTGTCCGGTCTCAGAGGAGAGGAGCGAGCAGGAGCGCAGGTCGACCGTCTGCAGGGAGGTGCAGCGGCGCAGCAGCGGGATGGACTGCTCCGTCACCTTAACACAACCTAGAAAACACACAGACAGGTGAGGCGGAGCAGCGGCACAGGCGGAGCAGCGGCACAGGCAGAGCAGCGCAACGGCGAGGCTTTTACCTGCCAGGTTGATGTGGGTGAGGCTCTCTCTCAGGGGGGAGATGTGGGAGGTGAGCGTGTGCACCGTCTGGTCGGTGATGTTCCCGCAGTGGCTCAGGTCCAACTTGGCCAGGTGAGGAACGTAGCGCATCAGTAGGCGGGACGACGCGTCCGTCAGGTCCAAACCCGCCAAACGCAGCTCTGTCACATTCTGGAAACGCCCCGCTCTGGTTTCCCCGTGGGCTGCAGGCCCAATCAGAGCAGAGAATCAAACACGTGATAACCTCAGAGCCTTTGTGCAGGCGGAGGTGTTCCGACGTGGGTGCCTCACCTGTCCTGGTGTCAGGTGGGGGCGCCAGCAGCTCTCTCAGGTGAGAGTCTTTGAGGTCCTCAACTCTGCTGAGGTCCAGCAGCTTCAGGCAGGGGCACACGGCCTGACACAGAGCGGAGACCGCCGCCCACGGGCAGCCCGACACATTCAGCTCCAGCAGACCTGGGCGGGACAGAAGACACAGGTGAGCCTCGCAGGTGAGAGGTGGAGCCACTCGCCGCCTCACAGGAAGGAGGGAAACGGCTCCAGTTTCAAGAGTATCATGTGACCTGGTTTGGCCAATAAACCAGGTGAAAAAATGAAACCACGGCAACTTATAACAGGGTGTGGGCAGGTGAGCTACACCTGTGCGAGGCCTTGAAAACAAGCCTTCGGCTCTATTTGCCGACCCACAGCTGAGCGGATGAATACGAAGGTGATTCGGTCAGATGGTCAGATCAAGTTCCCCTCGCGCTTCGGTCTTCGTGAGTGGGGGTAGTGTGCGTGTGCAGCGGGTGGAGGTGCACCGTCACCTTGCAGGCGGTTGATGAGCCACATCAGCTGTTTCTTGGAGATGTTGGTGTAGCCCAGGTTGAGGGAGACGGGCTGCCGGCGGATGATGCCGCTCAGCATGGGGGGGGTGATGGAGCGCTGCCGGCTCAGGTCGATCTGAGTCCACAGCCTCTTGTCGCAGCACCTGGGGGGGGGAGAGACCGCAGCGTTAGTCGCAGGGCTGACAACCGCGGGGGCTACACTGAAGGAAAGTCAGGAAACTCGTCCCCGCACCGCAACCTTCCACGCCACTCGAGACACGGCGGTATATGCCGACCTAACGTGTAGTTACCCGCGAGGCTCGCGTCAGGTTAGGTTGCAGCGTGGGATTAAAACTCCGTTTATGGCGTAAGCTACGGCGCAGACGCACACGTCTACTGCGAGACGCATCGACCTGGAAAACCAACCCAGACAGGATGAACTCGGACGTACCGTCGTTCTCCAGCTCTGATCGAAGCGAGTCCACGTAAAAGTGCAACTGTAGCCCCCCTACTCGAGTACTGGGGCTGGTATCTCACTGATTTCTAG